GGTCTTGATACCCAATAAATATTTTGCTTTTCTGCTTCAACCTGTTGTGACCATTGGCTCTTCATGACACAGGGTAAGGACCTTGCTTTCCTACAACATCGCGATCTCAAAATCAGAAATAGGGCAACAGAGGCTCAGAGAAAGGCTGTGACACTCCTAAAGACACGTCACTCCTAGATTTGAACCCAGGCCTCTGTGGTTCCAACCCCTGGTAGTGGCCTTCGCTCACACCTTCTTCAAATTATCCATCAACCACCAGCAACCCCTGGTGTGCTTTTATTGGGTACAAATCCCCTCTACCTGCCAAAGGGAGAGGAGAATACTGCCAAGTAGGTGTGAGTGGGTGTGGAATCCTGACATCCACATGGGTATAGGAGGAGAACTGAGGGCTACAATGCTGCTTGTTTAAGCTGGAGCCTTGGGAGATGGCAATGATGTGGGATTGGAGACTGTCCCCATGGCTTCAATCCCATGGGATGGATGTTTTCAACCCCAGGCCATGGTTGGGGTCTGCAGCAAGCCAGAATGTTCTCCTATGCCCCAGTAGGGTTGACAATCTTCCCCAGGAAGAGCATGGACTCTGTCTTCTCCTCAAACATCATCATCAGAAAGGTTTTGTTTAACTTGACCTGTAACGGCCTCTCCATGGGCAACGTCTGTGCTCCAGAGCCTGCAGCCCCTTCTGTGCCCTTCTCGTCCATCTTCAGCTTGGCCTTGTGGACCACCTGAGGGAATCAATGAGGGGTTGTCAATGCTGGTCAAGACCATCAGAGATCATGGCTGGTCCAGAGGCCAGCAAGAGGCCCAAGGAGAGAGAGGCTGTGGCGACAATCACACACATGCACAGCAGTAACTTGGCTGGTGCCACCCACCCCAGGGCTCCTGGCTCTTCGGCTGTCATTGTGGAAGGGTGTTCAACAGGCAGATGCAGAGTGATAGGAAATATGATGCAGGTGGGGGCAGCTGTCGGGGGGCTCAGAAGATGCAGTGGGGTCTGCTCTCCTTTCCATGAATTACAGGGAAGTGTCAACCATAATGAATGGCAGAAATGGGCTGTTGACCCTGAACTAGATGGAAGGGATGTGGCAGGATCTCCACCCAGAGGCCTCCAGCTCCCTATGCTCCCTCACTCATTGGCTGGATGGTTGAGCAGGAGCTAGATTCCTGGTAACTTATTTGAGGTGACTTAGGACCACACCCAGTGGCATCAAAATCTGTGAGTTGGTGATTGGGACTGAGACATTTATGGACCTCTGGTGAAATACTAAGGAGCCCTAAGGCATTTGACTGCTAACCAGAAGGTTGGTAGTTCAAACCCACCAGCCACTCCGTGGAAGGAAGACAGGGCAATCTACTTCCATAAAGATTTACAGCCTTGGAAACCCTATGGGGGTGTTGCTATGAGTTGGAATCGACTTGGTGGCAATGTTTTTTTTCTTTTTTTTTTCCCTTGTGAAATACTAACATACTTCATTCTATTGTACAAGATTCCAAGAATTTTACTTGAAGAAAACAGACAAATATCCTATGTTTATCTTGTAGAATTGCAGTTATCAGCACACCTAACCACAGAAAAGAGTTGAACTGTTGACAGCCACACAGACCTACAGAGGGGTGGCTAAAACTGAATGTTTAGTTCAGTCACATCCTTGAAAGGAAAGCTTAAAGGTGAGAAAAGTCTAATAACTGCCTTCCCACTTCTTGCAAATAGGGAAACAAATCATTACTGTTTTCTCCACGAAGGGGTCTTGTCCAGTCAAGTGGAGGAACCATAGATGTCTCTAGACTCTTATTTTATAGAGGAATGAACTAAGTCACCTAAGGTCACTCAGTTCCCCCTAGCCTATGTGACGCTAAACCAGGAGAAAAAAGGAAAAAGGAGCTCTGGGGGCTCAGTGCCCAGGGCATTTGACTGCTGACCAGAAGGTTGGGGGTTCAAACCCAGCAGCCACTCAGTGGAAGGAATTAGGTGGCACTAGGGCCTTGAAGAGCCCAAGGCCCTGTCCATTCCTCACTGCCGTGGGGCTGGCCCCAGAGTGCTCCTAGGCATCCTTACACTTGACAGTAGGCTGAGTCCTTCAGGAGGGAGCTGCCCGATAGCACAGTAGAGTCCTCCCTGAATGGTGGCGTGGGGGCCAGGTACCTGTTCTGCCTGGGCCTGCTGTTTCAGTTCTGAAAGGCAATGTTGTCCCTCCTCCCAGAAAGCCTGAGGCCTGGTGGGGGAGGGGAGCTCTGCAGAGGAAACCTCTCTCTTAGATGGCTGTGCCAGGCAATTCATGACACCCTGAGTCTCAGAGGGTCTGCCATTAGAGGGCAGGAAGGGTGGGGCAGAGGGGGCTGCTTTACCACCACACTTCAGAGTTTGTAAAGCATTTCCCTGCATGGTGCTCACAGGAACTCCCAGAAGTATGGCCAAATATCCCCTTTTTCCAGATAAAAATATGGGCTCAGAAAATCGTCATCATGCCCAACTAGGAAAATGAGCTATCCCCAGGTGGCTGGGAGCCAGTGGAGAACCCTCAGACAGAGAGGCTGAAGTCGGGGGTACCTTCCAAAAGTGCCTTTGAATCAATTTGGACTCATGGTGACCCCGTGTGTTAAGGTGGAACTGGGCGCCGTAGGGTTTTCAATGACTGATTTTTGGCAAGTTGATTGCCAGACCTTTCTTTTGAGGTGCCTCTGGGTGGACTTGACTCTCTAACCTCCAGGGTAGCATCTGAGTATGTTAACTGTTTGCATTCTCCGGAAACTTCCAAAGTCTCCTTTATTGTTGTTGTTATGTGCTGTCAAGTCAGCCCCGACTCATAGCGACCCCTCCTTGGATTTCTGAGGCAGTATCACTACAGAAGTAGATTGCCCCATCTTCCTTCCGAGGAGTGGCTGGTGGGTTTGAACCGCCAGCCTTCTGGTTAGCAGTCAAGTGCCTTAGGCACTATGCTACCAGAGCTCCCAAAGTCTCCTTACTCTCTCCAAAATGTTCAAGTACGTATTGTTCTCCGTGGGACAGCCCCTTCAGCAGTTACGGGGTGAGGGCACAGCAGGGCCAACCCAGGGCCTCCGAGCCAGTGCTGACCCCCAAGTGGGATGTTTAACTCTCTGGCACACAGGAAAGGCCACCAAGACTGGCCCGTCTGCCTGAATCCCACTTACATACTTGTGTGGCTTCCCTGAGTGTCTCCCTCCTCACCCAGCAGCGTTGGGGGTAAAGATGAAACATTTGCGTAATGCCTGATACTGTCTGTCAAATGCATGGTAACTCCCATCATTGGAAGAGCTCATGGGCACTTTCACATCTCAGCTCAGCTTATGCCCAGCCTGCTCCGAGCCTTCCCTGGAGCGTGGAGGTTGAGCGCCATGTGGGCTTTTCCGGGACTGCACTGACCGTGCTGTGGAGAAAGTTGTGTATCTGCTTCTGCAGGGAAGAACCATTTCTGTGTCCCCAGCAGGTGTCTGACTCATAGGAGGTCCCAGTGCTAGTTGGTTGAATGATGAATGAATCCCATTTGTGTTGGAAATACTTAGCAGAGCATCTTCCTGTCACTGAGGCTTGGGTTCTCATCCATTCACACAGTAGCCATTCATTCTACGCACTTGGGTTAGGCACCCGTTCTCATGGCACTCCCCAGCTCAGACATCTTTGGTGGCTCCTCAGTGCCTATTGATTTTGGGAATCTGCCCAGCTCTATAGCCTGTCCCTCCCAGAGTGGCTTGAGCCTTCCTCTTCACTCCAACCACTGATCTAGGGACACATCCTGTACATCCCCCCAGAGACTTTGGCCATGCTGTTCCCTGTGCTGGAATATCCTTCCCACTCCTAGTCTTACCTGTTGAACTCTCTCTCCCTGCTTCAAGGCATAGTTCAATGTTCCTTTAACCCAAAAGTAGGGTTGCTAGATAAAATATAGGATGTCCTCTAAATTTGAATTTCAGATGAACAGTAATTTTTTTCTATAAGTATGTCTGTCCCATGAAGTATCTGTCTCATGCAATACTTGTACTAAACAATTATTCATAGTTGTCCTGAAATTCGAACTGAATTGGGCTCCCTGCATTTTATCTGCTAAATCTGGTCCTCTCTAATTGTCCCAAATAGGCTGGGGCTCAACCTTCCTGAAACCATGAGACCTGCTAGCATGTCTCTCCTTCATGTAGCACATATTTATGAGTTATTTGTATCAAGCCGGTGAGATCTTTGAGAGAGGGTCTGAGTCAGACCTAGACCAGTTCCAGGCCTGTGTTGTTGGCCTTATAACAACAACAAAAACCCAAACTCATTACTGTGAGTCAATTTCAACTCATAACCACCCTATAAGGACAGAGTGGAATTACCCCATAAGGTTTCCAAAGCTGTAAATCTTTACAGAAGCAGATTGCAAGGACAGGGAAGGGGCGTCCTCTTTCTTCAGAAGAGTAGCTGGTGGGTGTCAACCACTGACCTTTCCATTAATAGCTAAGCATTTAATCACTGCATCACCAAGGCTGCCCTCTTGGCCTATAAACCAAAGCCACTGCCAAGTAGTTGATCCTGACTCACAGTAACACTATAGGACAGAGTAGATCTGCCCCATATGGTTTCCAAGGCTGTAAATCTTTACGGAAACAGACTTCCTCAACTTTCTTCCATGGACCAGCTGGTGGGTTTGAACCACCAACCTTTTGGTTAACTCACTGCCCGAGTCGATTAGACTCATAGTGACCCCTCCTTGGGTTCCTGAGGTGGTATCTCTATGGAAGTAGATTGCCAATCTTCCTTCCAAGGAGTGGCTGGTAGGTTTGAACCACCAGCCTTCTGGTTAGCAGTCAAATGCTTTAGGCACTATGCCACCAGACCACCAGAACTCCTTGTTGGCCTATAGGATGTACTTAATAAATGCCTGTTGCTTTAACTTTCAATATAGGACCAGGAGATTGATATTTCCAAGTTGGAAGCCTGAGGCTTAGGGAAGTCATATGATTTGCCTAAGATCACACACTGGTATGAGGCAGAGCTGGGTTCCAAGGCCTGCCTCACTGGTGTGTGGGTCTTGCTCTCACAATACGGTGACAGCTGGCTCCTATGGGGCTGTGTGAAGGCTTCCTCTCCTTCCTGCAGACTTACCTCACCCACTTTCAGGCTGCGGTGAGGGGAGATCCTGGTGAGGTCACCATGCTCCTCGAAGATTTTGGTGATACCCAGCTGAGAGAGTACCTCCTTCAAATTGTAGGTACTAGTGATGGAAAGCCTGGGCACGGACACATCCACAACCCTGGGGAGGTGGAAGGGACAGAGGTGAGAGGTGGGCTCCATCACCCAGGGCAGGCTCCAAAGACTGATGAATCAGACGTTCGTGCTCCCAGCCCCAAGAGCCTCAGATCTTCTCTTTCCATAGAATGAGAAGGGACTCCTTACCCCTGGGACCCTGGTTTCAAGATACCCTGTGTTCTCTGAACCATGCTCCTGCTTTGTACCAAGCCTGCCCAAGAGCCCTCATCCATAGGAAGCATTGTCAAATCCCCACCATCTCAGGGTCCCTTCACCTGCAGCTAGCTACTGAGGACCCTCCTATTGCAGACCCAGCCACGCCCATTACCTGAGCCAACGATGACCCCAGCAGAGCCTCAGATTTGTAGTTGGATAGAACTGAGTTCAAATTCCTTTTGCCTTTCTTAAGCTCTGTCACAAAGCAAAGCAGTTTATCTCTCTAAGCCACTCATCCAAAACTAGTGATACTAAGCATTGCATCCACAGGACAATCAGAGCGCCAAAGTAGAGCCATGTAAGGAGGTCTACAGACAGTCAGAGACTAGCAAGTGTCCCTCTGCTTACCCTTGGATTAGCAGCACCACATCCTCTGTGGGTGCAGCCTGGACAAGCCTGCTGGCCCAGAGCCTGGGGTCAAGGGTCCCTGGGGTACCTGCATGATCCCTGTGCACCTGGATGCCATTTCTCCTTGTCATTCCAAAAACCCCCTTCCTGCCTGTTTCCTCTCTCCTCTGTGTCATCCATGAGTGGCACCCACTTGATCATTCACAGAAGCAGGCTACATGCTGTAATAACTCCCATCCTAAAAAACAAAGCAAAACTTTTCCCTGGACCCTGAGTCACCCATTCAGAAATGTTTCTCTCAGTGTGTAAACCTTCTCTTGACTTTTAATAGTAGTGGTCTTATACAGCATTTGTCCTTTTGTGATTGATGTATTTCACTCAGCATAATGTCCTCTGTGTTCATTCATGTTACAAGGTATTTTGTAAATTCATCATTATCCATTAATTCTGCATAGCATTCAATTGTGTGCATGTACCATAGTTTGTTTATCCATTCATCCTTTGATGGGCATTTAAGTTGTTTCCATCTTTTTGCTATTGTGAATAATGCTGTGCATATAACTCTTCTTTTCATAGTTCTAATTTCTCTAGAATATTTACCTAGTAGTAGGATTGCTTGATCATAATGGATTTCTATCTCCAAATTTTAAAGGAAGTGTCATACTGTTTTCCACAGCGGTTGTACCATTTTACAGCACCACCAGCAGTAGATGAGTGTTCCAGTCTCTCTAGCCCCTTGCTAGTATTTGTTTTCTGGTTCTTCCCCCACCCTTTCTTCTGAACTTTGCTATTGCCGGTGTGAGATGTTATTTCATTGTTGTTTTCATTCGCATCTTTCTGATGGCTAATGATTGTGAGCATTTCTTCATGTGTTTGTTGGCTGCCTGAATGTCTTCTTTGGTGAAGTGTCTGTTCATGTCTTCTGCCCATTTTTATAGTTGGCTTGTTTGTCTTTTTGTTGTTAAGGTGTTGAAGTTTTGTATAAATTTTAGAGATTAGTCCCTTGTCAGATATGACATTACCAGTCCCACCCACCCACCCACCAGTCTGTAGGTTCTCTTCTTACTCTTTTGGAGAAGTCTTTTGATGTGCATAAGTGTTTAATTTATAGGAGATCCTGATTATAGTTTATCTTCTACTGTTTGTGCATTTTTGCTTATATCTGATAGAATAGTTATGCCATGAATTAGAACTCTTAAGTTTGTCCTTACTGTTCCCTTTGATGATCTTGATAGTCTTGGGTTTTACATCTAAGTCTTTGATCTATCTTGAGTTGGTTTTTGTATAAAGTGTGAGGTGTGGATCTTGTTTCATTTTTCCACAAATGGATATCCAGTTTTGCTAGCAATATTTGTTAAAGAGATTGTCTCTTCCCCATTTAATGGATTTCAGCCCTTTATTCAAGATCAGGTGTCCATAGGTGGATGGATTTACTTCTAGGTTCTCAATTCTGTTTCATTGGTCTATGTGTCTGTTGTCCCAGTACCAGGCTGTTTTGAGTACTGTGGCTGTAGAGTAGGTTTTCAGATTGGAGTGTATGGGCCCTCTTACTTTTTTCTTCTTCAGTAGTGTTTTGTTTGTCTGAGATCTCTTTCCTTTCCGCATGGAGTTGGTGATTGGTTTTTTCCTGTCTTTAAAGAATGTTGGTGGAATCTGGATTGGGGTTGCATTATATCTATATTTGCTTTGGGTATTATTGACATTTTCACAATGTTAAGTTTGTCTATCCATGAGGATGGTATGCTCTTCCATTTATGTAGGTCTTTTCTGGTTTCTTGCTGTAGTGTTTTGTAGTTTTCTTTGTATAAGTCTTTGGTATCTCTGGTTAGGTTTATTAACAAGTATTTTATCTTGTTGGTAACTATTGTAAATGGTATTGGCTCCATTATTTCCTTTTCAGAGTTCTCTTTGTTGGTGTAGAAGAATACAATGATTTTTGTATGTTGATCTTGAATCCTGCCATGTTGCTGAATTTCTATTAGTTCCAACAGATTTCTTGCTGAGTCTCTGGGGTTTTCTATATATAGGATTATACCATTCTAGGAATATATCCTAGGAATAGTTTTACTTCTTTCTTACTAATTTGGATGCCTTTTATTTCCCCTTCTTGCCTTACTGCTCCTCAGAAGGAAGCTTGGGCAATCTACTTCTGTAGTGATACTGCCTCGGAAACCCAAGGAGGAGTCACTATGAGTCAGATATGACTAGATGGCAGTGAGTTTTAGAGTGAGGACTTCCAATACAATATTGAATAAGAAAGGTGACAGAGGGCATCCTTGTCTGGTTCCCATTCACCAGGGGAATGCTTTCAATCTCTCTCCATTGAGAATAATGTTGGCTGTTGGTTTTCTGTATATGTTTTAATGATGTTGAGGAATTTCCCTTCTATTCCTATTTTGCTGAGAGTTTATATCAGGAATGGTGCTGGATTTTATCAAATGCCTTTTCTTCATTGATTGATATGATCATGTGGTTCTTTTTCTTTGGTTTATTTATGTAATGGATTATGTTAATTATTTTTATAATGTTGAAGCATTCTTGTATACCTGATATGAATCCCATTTGGTGGGATGTATTATTTCATAATATATTATTTCAAGGATGTATTATTTCATGATATGTTGTTGGATCCCATTGGTTAAGATTTTGTAGAGAAATTTTGCATCTATGTTCATGAAGGATATTGTTCTGTAATCTTTTTTTTTAGTGGTGTCTTTGCCTGACATTGGTGTCAGGGTTATACTTGCTTCCTAAAATGAATTCAAGAGTATTACATCCTTTTTTTATGTAGTTTGAGTAGAATTGATGTCACATCTTCTCTGAATGTTTGGTAGAATTCTCTGGTGAAGCTGTTTGGGCCAGGATCTTTTTGTTGTGGTGGTGGTGGTGATTTATTTTATTTTATTTTATTTTTTAATGACTTGTTCCATTTCTTCTTTTGCTATGAATCTGTTCAAATTTTCTACCTCAGCCTGTGTTAGTTTAGGTAGGTCATATACTTCTAGAAATTTGTCCATCTCTCCAGGTTTTCAAATTTGTTGGAGTACAGTTCTTCGTTGCATTCTGTTATTTTCCTTTTTATTTCAATTTGTTCAATTGCAATATCTCCCATTTCATTTTTTGTGCTTCTTTTTCTTTTAAAATTTGCCTGTGGTTTGTCTATTTTATTAATCTTTTTTACAATAATTAATTTTATTATTTTGAATAAGAATTTAGTCTTTTTAATGATTTCTTTTCTGTTTTCCATTTAATTTATTTCTGCATGAATCTTTATCTCCTGGTGACTGTAGACTTTGTTTTGCTGCTCTTTTTCTAACTACTGGAGATGTTGGGTTAAGGAATTGATTTAAGTTCTTTCTTCTTTTTTTGATGTATGTTTTGCTATAAATTGTCTTCTGAACACTGCTTTTTCTGTGTGCCAAAGATTTTGCTATGTTGTGTTTTCATTCTCATGTGATTCAAGGAATATTTAGAATTTCATTTTTTATTTCTTCTATTCCCCAGTAGCTTTTAAGCAAGGTGTTATTCAGATTCCACTTTTTTCCTTGTTTTTCCTGTTGTTGATTTCTTATTTTCTACCCTTGTGATCTGAGAAGATGCTTTGTATTATTTCAATGTTTCAAAATTTATTGAGGCTTGCTTTGCAGCCTAACATGGTCTATTTTGGAAAATGACCAACGTGCACTTGGGAAGAATGTATATTGCATTTTTGTTGGGTGGAGTGTTCTATGTCTATGAGGTCCAGCTGGTTGATTATGTTGTTTAGATCTTCTGTATCTTTGTTGATTTTCTTTCTAGTCATTGCTGATTTTGTGTTTACTGAGTCCTTATGATTGTTTTCATTTTTATTTTGCTTAGAAGGTTTACTA